ATCCGGCTTATAATTGCCGCGCTGCTGTGAACAAGAAGAATCCATATCCCTCAACCCGTAAAGAGGTTCTTAACCTTTCATTTTTCCCCGTGCCGAAGACCAATCCTTCTATGGGAAATACAAATTGTTTCAACTAGCAAATCTTGTCAGTTGCTCCGCTCCCCACATTTAGAAAGGATCTTAATTGAAATGCATGAGCTGGGCACTATCGAAGAGGGACCTTCTGGGTCGAAAAGAGTGACTATCGACAGTGAGCGAGTGTCGTGCAATTGCAGGGGTGGCTCTGGGTGCGGGACTGCTGTTTGGCCTGATCACAATGCTGGTGCAGTACGTGGGGCTCTTCATGACAGGGTTCCACACCGGTCTCTTCGCGGGGGTGGTGGCCTTGGCCACAGCCGAACAGTTCCGGTGGCAGCCGACCACGGTGTGGACAAGTGCGGCCGTCCTTCTTGGTTCTGGTCTCCTGGCGGCTGTTCTCAACTTGTACTGGCAAAAAGGTGAGCTGAAGGTTGCCACGGACGCGACATATCAGCGATCCTGACCCACGCCACAGTAAGAGGGGAAAGGAAGACGCCAAATGCTCTTTCGCTCCCTCCCCGTACCTCGACTGGCTGGCGCAAAACTTGTTTGTTTGTAACGGCCAACGAAGCTCGGATATATCTTGCGATATCCTTCTGCGCCGAATTGTGTAAGCTACGTGTACATTGCATCCTGTCCTTTTTAAGTTTTCCGGCTACACGAGAGGAGTGAAATCAGACTCCTCATTATGAAATGTCTTCCACCAGCCTCTCTTATTTTTATTTTGGCTATGGCTTTTAGTTGCTCGAACTGTATGTATAATGTCCGATGGCAGGATGATAATGAATTACTATTTGATGCAGAGTGGGCAGTTACTTTTGCCAGAAATCATTGATAAGCTAGCCAAAAAATGACAAAAAAATAGTACGTCCTTTCATCACTACTATCAGTCTATAAATACATAAATATTGGGAATATGTTCCAGACAGTGAAGACATCTGTGTTCTTGGAGTTCCTCTTCTATTTCAATTATTTCTAATTTAGAAGATGACTGTTTTCTGCCTTGTTGCGCCGTGTAGTCTGGTAGATGTATACCGACGTTTCAGAGGTGCTTGGTGCCTCCATCATCAGGGCTCACTGTCCTCTGAAACGTCAGTAAACGTCTGTCAGATTGCATGGCGCAACAACCCATGAAAACCTCAAACGTGCAGCACTTCAGTATTGTTTACCCCTCAATAGCCAGATTCCGCAAAAAGAAATTGTGTGTTGCTGCAGGTCTGACGGTCCTCGGGACCAGTGTGTACGGGGGCGCCATCATGGCGGGTTCGCTGGACTACTTCGTGGAGAAGTTCCTCATGGTCAAGTGGGTGTGGGACAGAGTGGCTCTGAAGCCCAGTCCCGCGCCTTGCTGGTTCGGGTGGCTCATCCTTGCCGTGTGGCCACTCATGGTCCTAATCGGTATCATCACCCAGTGGGCCGTCACCGGCCGCGGGATTCATCACCAAGAGCGTGAGTGGATGTTTGTCTTGTCACTGTTCTGTGTTACATTCTTCTCGTCAAGTCGTCGTTCATTCTTGCAGGTTGTATGTCGTATGTTAGTTACTATTATTTTAGAACTATTAATCCTTCTTTCATCTCTATCCCTTCCTTGGCTCATTAATTCTTGTATGAAAACAAGTCTGGTTCATTTCGATATTGAGTCTAAGACTCCCATCTACACCTAGCTTTTTCCATGTGGTCTCTTCCATTCAGGTTTTGCCAAACAAGAGTACATTTTTCTCCCGTCCCGCCCATCTCAGCCTCTCTGATTTTATAATCTTAATACCATTTGGTGGATACAAATTATGAAGTTCTTAATTACGCAGTTTTCTTCAGCCTAGGTCCAAACATTCTTCTCGGCACCCTATTTTCAAACTCCATCGCTTTATATCCTCCCTTAAAGTGAGGGACCAAGTTTTACACCCATCCAAAACAATTATATTTCCGTGTATTTTAGCCTTGATGGTTTTAGATAACAGACGGGTAGACCAAGATTCTGAGCTGAGTATTACTACGACTTTAGTCTGCTCTTAATTTATTCGTCAAAAGAAGCATTTCTTTCCGTGGCGATGTTCACCGCGATATGCAGATATGCATTCCCTCCAAACCATATCCTGTTACGTAAGTGCAGCTTCCTGCTGCCGACTAGTGAGAAAAATGCGACCTTCAACACAGATCAGATGTGTTTTCAAATATACTGTTTGATTAACAGCTTCTTTCTATGAAATTAAGAAACACTGGCAAATCTCCCAGTCCTCGGGGCGGGGAGGGGGTCTGACATGTAGCTTGTTGACATTTTTGGAACGAAGAAAGAAAGAAGGAGAAAGAGAGACAAGAAAAATTTTGAATAGACACTTAGGAGACCAGGGAGAGAATATGACAAGATTATATTACAATTTATCATTGAAATAGACGAGATGTAGCACGGTTCTGGAAGCCATATAATTTCTTACCCAGTGTCTACTGGGTTCTGTTCCCCATGGGCCAGAGGAAAGCAAGGCGTAAAACTGCTTACCTCCACAAATAGTATATTCAGGATGTGTATAGAGCCGAGATCACATTGGATTCCTATTGGACGAGACTCGGGGAAGTACCTTTGAGCTGGGTTCAAGCCATTTTGCTGCAACAGAACAACCAAACTGAATATTAGTGGCATTTAAATATTTTTAAGTGGTACAGTTCATATTTTTCGACTGCTTCTTATTTATTGTTTGCGTCATTCATTATTTAAAATTCCCTTATTCCGTCGTATGAACTTGCCTGTCCTTGTTCCCCGTCTGTGTTTACTTCCACTTAAACATTTTACGCGCTGGTACGTTAAGAACCTGCTAGCCGTGGGAGTTAGGTTCAAGAAAAGCACGACTCGCACACACGCCCCCCCCCCAAAAAGTTCGCAAAATTTTGTTTCAGGGGAACATTTTAATAAAAATGAAACGAAATGTATTAATTTTCATGCGGAAGTGTGTGAGAATGAAATTTGAAAGCAAGCGTCGCTAACGGTGCGTCGAGACTTTTCGAGACGTCCAAAGTAACTACAAGATTATGTAACGTATCAAAGACCTGCCCAGCTGTTGAACACAGTGAAAGACAGATGAATGAAAATGCCCACAAGCAACCACAATTGGATTTTCAGTTTTGTGTTTATATCATGTAAGCAGACATCAGATGTTCAGCTCGTTTATCCATAATATTTCGGTCTGTCACAGTGTTGCTTGCGGTTTAGTAGATATAATTTTAGCCTCATATTACATATACATAATACATTCGAATCCCGATCAATATGTTAAATTCTGACATCCGACGTTACACAGTTTCAACAGTAAATAAAACGTTAAAAACCAAATTGGCATTAACATTTGCATTTGCTAGTGAAGCAGAGGGAGAGAGCGCTCACGTGACCTCCGCAAGTGGGTCAGTGGGACGGAAACTGGTCTGTTGGGTACAGCTGTAGCGACCAAAAATAATTGGCACAGAGACCTGATTCAGCCCCAGCCGCACACGTGCGACTCAGTTCCCTTGCAACATTGTTAGACACTGATAATTAAAGCGATGCTGCGTGGAGAACAGCATATCACAAAGTCCGATTAATGGCTGTTATCTGAAGGACGAACGGTCGAACACACCCACGAGGCACAAAATGGTGTGTTTCGTTTATGTATGGCGTATTGTTTATGTATTCATTTATGACACCTGTTTGCTGTCTATGCATCTTATTGTAAATATATTATCCGGTAGATGGTAGGTTAATCCCAGGTTTGACAACGCTTTCGATGGTGCACACTTAATTAGTACCGAGATACTAATTATTTTCTCAATTAAGTTAACTCCATAGTTATATTTTGTAAGACATAACACTTGTATTTTATAGATACTCTACAACGTTTATTGAAGCCATTTTTCTCTGAGGTGACTGCTTAGGATGATGCATTCAAAATGCAGTTCGCCCTTATGTAATTTGCATAATGGGTTAAAGAGAATGAAACTTACACATGGTCACACTCATATGAGTGTGGCATGTATCAGGACTAAAAGGACACATGTAAAAATTCATTTTGACCCGTAACTTTTTAAAACTAAGTGGTAACAATATGAACCACCGCCTTTAATATTCAGTAACATGGCATTTTGCCCACAGAGTTTATTTCTGAGTTCCATATGATTCTCAGAGAAAACAGGGATTATTTCCTTAAACATCACCAATTGATCTTTGTAGTAGAGGAGTGTTGTGTTTCCTTTGAGGTAAGAACTGAATTTTTATAATAGTATTTAGATGAGGTTCAACAAAATTAATTTATTTTTCAAAACATACCCAAAATGTGTGAAATTGAGCAATGAAACTAAATGACATTTCCTTGTTACACAAGAAACTGATTTTTGCAGTGGTGCCATCCAAGAAGGCACGTCACCTCAACATGCAGCAGCGGGTGCGTACTCGTGAGCAACGTGCAGAGCTACGCCAGAAGAAGTACCGCTACTTGTACCAGGTGCGCACCGCCCATGGAGATGTCATTAGTCAGGTAGGATATGATGTTCAGCCAGAATTAATTACAGTTATGCAATTTGTAATTCTTCACTATCCTTATGAAGTATTTTAGGTTTTCACTGCAATGTCTTCTAGTTGTAGACCATAGGTTTAGATTAGGCTCTTTTAGATTATTTATACAGCCTGACTCAGTTCTTCAATTATACATGAGCAGCCCACAAATGTCCCAGGTTTAATACGTTTTAAACTTAAAATGCGAGTCAAATAGCTACTTGCGTACCACTATATATAACATAAAAATAGAGGAATGAAAAATGTATCTTAAAATTAAGTTTGAAATTAGTAAAAATGGGCTTTATGATTTTCCCCATCTGTGTAATGGGCTCTGAAAGAATCACATCTCTTTCTAGTAGGCCATAGCGCATCCTTCCTTTGACATACCTGTTTTAGTATAACATGCCTCAGCCCTGACAGGAAGGCAGCATGTTCCTTCAAAACTATGGTATAAAACAGAAACCCACAAGAGTCAAAAAGCCACAATCAAAACTTTGCTGTTTTTCGATAACTTCTTAAAAAGCGTACATAAATTTATGGTAATGTAATTATAGCATGAGCAATGATAGCAATTAGAATCTGTATGTATCAGATTTCAATAGAGGAATATTTGTCTTTGAAGTATAGGGGAAATTGCATTAAGTTCATAAACAGTTCTATGTGGGTTTCTGCGTCACTGCCCCGAAGGGAACTTTTGGAAACAGACATGTCAAACAATATAATATACTCTAGCCATCATGTAATGCTAGATGCTGAACTATAGACAACTTTATTATATAAACTGCAAGTAAATAAATAAAATTTTTAAAAATATTAGAAGAGTTCATACTCCAAATTTTCTCATTGTTTTTTTCAATCCAATTAAATCATCAAAGACTCAGTGATGGACAGCTGACAGAAGGTAGTCATTCAGCTTGGTGTTTGAACTATGACAAGTGTTTTGTTACAAACTTTTGCAAAAGCCTAATTAATATAAGATATTTCTAGCTAATAAGGCTCATTCCCATTTCTTCTGCAAACATGCTTCAATCAACGACTTCAACCTTGAATTGTCACACTGAATGCTGTAAGATGGCCACTGTTTCCCGTTCCAGAGTTATGTACAAGCACTTCAGAGGAAGGTATGTGGGCCAGGACCAGAGTCAAATACCCTGCAGTCTGATTCGACCCACCTCACCATTCTGGCCGCTGACCAGGCACAACAGCTGACAGCACTGACCGAATCAGAGGATGATAGCAGGGATTTGTCCGCAGACATCATCCAGCTTGACAGGCGACATCATGACTCAAACCATGGCATCACCAGACCCCCCTACCGATAGTGCTTTTCAGTATCATGGTAAAGTGATACGAGTGCAGTCAATGTACATCGAAAGTTACCATATCGATAACAACAGACCAATATTCTGCATGATACATCTTAGATGCTGTGACAAATTCAATATAGAATATAAGAAGCCATCAGTGATTCAGTTTATAAAACTATGAATTAAGTCCAGGCACAGAAATGTCATAAATAAATGACATGCAAAAATGTGTTATCATTGTGAAATACAACAGTGAACACAGTAACAATATACAAGTCTCCTCTTCAATAAGAATATGTATATCATATTATTATAAAGAACCTGGTAGGTAGTATCACAAAGACTCCATATATAAGTACTCGCGTACAACGTAGGCATAATTGTAGACTACAAGTTATGAGCAGTGATTATGCAACCTCCACAGTACACAAAGTGCTCACATGAAGCACTAGACTCTCAGGCTGACGTGAAAGTAGTAACAGTACCAAGCACAATTAAATAAAATGTGCAAAACAAATGCACAGTTCATTATATGCAAGTATAATTAAGAACAGAGGACAAAGACTAAGTAATGTGTTACTTTAGCTTACTCTTAAGCTTCCAGTGGTGAAACAAAACTCACATGAAGGATGCAATGCCAACAGTTAACTCATCTTTTTGTCTCTGGAGTTGGTATTACTGAATGCAAAAGTACCAAAAGGAACTGTTATGAGATATAGGGAGGTCCAAAACACATACAAACCTGATTTCAAATGTGCAAACAGTACATTAAATAAATTTACAAAGGCTCAAACCTTTGTCTCACTCATTTCCAGAGTTTCTTCATGATTTTCCTCTGCTTGTATAAAAACAACTATTGGTTTGGTTCCTTTTACACTCTGTGAGGTAGCATGTTTGGGATTTCTTCATTACTGACTGGAAGATTATTATTAGCACTGTATCAGGCAATTAAGATTATTAAGCATCAGTGATACTGAAGATGAATTATTAATGGGGGGGGAACTAAAGAAATAGTACTCTCATACAGATCCCACATGAGCTGGTCAAGTCATGTAACAGGATCTGTACTGCTAATGGTTTACTTTAGTTTATCTGCATCCAGATCAATGTTACCAGTTTCATTTATAGTGATTGACAGCGTAAATAAACAACCACTTCAGCTGGCAACCATAATCACTTCTGCCTTTGCAACTTGCACCATCTTCAACATCATTACTATCTGCCTTGCAGCAAGAAAGTAGAACACTGGACTAAATATGCCCATTTGAAGCTAAGGTGGTAAATTTCTGCACCCTCCTATATTTTCTGGCTTCTGCAGTGACATGGTGTAGTCTTGTACAACATAATTTTAAGCATTCCGTCTGCATAGATTTAACAATTCTTGTTTCTGTGTGTATTTCTTGTCTATAATGGAGTAGGTGTACCAAGTGCCTTTTGGATGATGGTGTTTGAAAGTTAAAATGGATCAAATCAACTGGGTATGCTCATTAAATAAATAAATAAAAAAAATATATATATATACTCAAAAATCTGTAAGTATATAAAAAATATATATGCGTAGGGGTAAAAATTATATTTAAAATTACATAAATAATATATATTCAAGATCTATACATATATAGGCAGTCTAAACAAAAAACATAGTCAAAACTGCATAACAGTCCATCTTAGCGTATGAAATACGCATAAGATGGTACAAATATCAACCATTGCCCATGCAGTGTTCCTTGGAGAGCTCTAAAGTTAAATGCTGGTTTGGAAATGGCGTTGTCAACACCACCTAGCATATAAGGCCTATAATGACAGCTTTTTAAATTTATGATTTCCTATTTCATACACTGACCAGTTCTAATGGACCAGTCAGGCTGTCCAAAGTAACTTGCAAATGAACATGTACATATTGATATAATTAAACAGAGCAGTAATGTCAAAGATCATTTGAATCTAGCATATATTTAAAAATGCAAATACTACATAAAGTTTAATGTATCTGGAGAACATTTTATATATAATTTATATTCATGTAATCTTTCGTAAAATTCTGAGTCCTAAATTCTATTTAAGCTTATTTATTCACTGTCGTTGTTCTGTTCTATCATATAATACTTCTCACATTTGTCTTCATCATCATATTCTGATGGTTGGTTTGCATGTTATATGACAATGCATCAACTGCAAAGACTATCTAACATGGGATGAGATCAGAGTATCATTTTTGAAGCCATCTACATCTTCTATTCAGATGTCATATCTGATCACTTGTTTGGTAGTCTGTGGATATTTTTAACAATTCACTGTGATGTTATAACATTAAATTGGGGAATCCTCCAAAGGCTAAAAATGTCTGCTGAGTTTCATGAAACTCAAGAATTATTTGAAGGGCATATGTACAGACATCAATCATTGTTGTATAAGGCTGTTTTTGTTTTCAGAAACAAGTTAGAATGGAAATTCATTACAGATATGCCAACATCACCTTAGCATCTATTCTGAGATGACAGGTTCAAATCCTGCTGCTTCTTTGTTTCTTGTTTGTCACCATCTTATCAAACAATAGGCAAAGAATGGATATGAGATTACAGCATCTCTTCCTGTTCACATAATCAAATAACAATCAAATGTAATAAGACAATAGAACAAGATATTTATCTGTTATAAATGCTTTGGTATACTTGTGCTATGGACTTAAGATGAAAAGTCATTTTACTACCAACGCACTGAATACTGAATCTAACATTTTCCATCTGATAAAAACAAAAGCATACACTTTTGAATTTGTATTTATTTTCCAGCCACACTGTAACACAAAATGTTCTCTTTACACAGACATGCTTTGGCATAAATAGACCATCATCAGAGCCTCATAATTCTATGTAAAGAAAGACTTGTTATCATTGCCAGTATAATAATAATCATAATGAAACCAAAATCAATCAGTTGTGGTGTTAAGGACGGTAGGAGAAGGATGCATGTAGTAGATACAGCCAGACAAGCTATATTTCATCAGCACTTTACGAAAAGATATTTTCAACACGAGAGACACTTGCATCCAAGTTCTGCCTACCTGCAGTGAGCATCAGATACAAGGTAGAAGTACATATGTGGAAAATAATTTTAACTAAATACTCTGTGTAGCAGAAAACACCTTTCCTAAAAAACGTATGATGAAGCACTGATGACATTCTTATGTGAAAATGTGTGTGTAAGAACTGTTTGTGTTAAAGTGTGGATGGAAAATAAACAAAAATTTGAAAGTCTAGTAACACACCATGGAAGTGTATATAATAAAAAGTAAACATGCTTAATTTGCCATTTCTGTAGAAGAATAGGTCTGACACCCCTCAACATCATCTTGAAAGCCAGCTCCAAAGAAAAATCAAACAAAGGGAATACACATAGGTGATTGCGCAGAACTGACATTTTTGCCCAAACATTTTAATCAGTTTTGAGAAAGGAAAAAAATACTAGAATGAGACAGTCACTGAGACAGGAACCAGCACTAATTTATTTAGTCCCTTTTCTGACAGCAGAATTTGCAGTTGTGAACTAAATATGCATTTCTTCCAGAAGACCAACATGACATCTTCACCACCACAAGAACCTCAAATCATGCAGCCATTTTTTTATGATACTGCTACTGTATGAGTTTTTTCTTGCATCCTGTAATATACTCATACTAAAATTTTATTCAATATGAATAATTTTTCGAGAGACTTAAGATATGTCATTAATGAAAAATGCAATGCCATTTCTTGCCACACAGAAGGAAGCAACCTATGCAATGTATTTAAATTCACTAGCCACCCACAGGTGTCCAGAACTCATCCACTCCTCCCACAAATATCAGGCTAGAGAAGATGCAGGGACAAAATGAGTTCACACTAATATTTCTAAAAAAGTCCATAGTGCAGATTTCATTAGTAGAGTTCAATGTTTGAGATGAACTGACCAGTGACACATATTAAAACAAAGAAATAGCTAGTGACACATGATGTGAGGACACATATCAAAACTGTGGTACCAACAAATTCTTCACTTACAGTACCTTTCTTCATTTTAACATCCAGTAGACTCCAGCAATATATGAGCAACTGAATAAGAAAATAACTAGCTCTTGTAGAAGAACATAAGTTTAAAATGGCTAATATCTAAGCCCACCATTGGACATGATCCTGAGCCACTTACATCCACCTCCCATTACCACAACTATATCCCTAGGATCCATCTTAATGTTATCCTCTCACCTCCTCCTCACTCTTCCAAGTGGCTCTGTCTCCAAGAGATTTCTGTCTGCATTGTTTGTCTTCATCGTCCTAGCTAAATGTACAACCCAACTAAGTCTAAAAAATAGTGAACTATCCTAACTGTAACCTGTATAAATCACAAACACACATTTATTCCTTCTTAGGTCCATACATCCATATGTCTTTATAATAAATGTAACATTTTAATACATTATTAAATTATAAACCTACATTGTAAACACGTTAATTTGTTCTTCAATATTCTCAAGAAAAATTTCATACTTAAGCTACTATACACTTCTCTGTACCAGATCCTTCAATACAAATACAGAGTCAGAAGTGAAGCAAGAAATGAGGACAGAGGCAGAGATGGTTGGTCATATGTTCTCGCTGGTCAGGTCTGTCATACCAGCTTTGTCAGCCAATAAAGGTCCATCTGTTATTTTGGACCAGTATATAGCATGGACTTAATTTTTGTCACTTCATCCATATCCATGGAAATTAAGTAAACAAATCAAGAAGTTAAAAACCTAGTATTTTATAGTTTTCAGTAATGTTTTGCACCATCCTGTCTAATGGGTACTGGGATTCCTTTCCTTGGGGGTAAAGTGTAGCCAGGGCATGAAGCTGACCACTCACCTGTCTAGTGCCGAGGTCAAGAATGAGGAGGAATTATATGCCCCCCCCCCCCCAAGTACCTACATGATGTATAGCGGGACAGCTTTACTTTACTGCTTAACAATGGAGTGATAAGACATAAACAAAGCATAATCCAAGTTAGGATATCATAAGATGCCAAAGCATACTTATCTGCAATGTAGGGTAGTGTAGACAGGAAAATAACAAAGTGAGTAGTGTGGCGTAGTGGTTATAATTATGCTTTGTATTTGGAAAGCATGTGATTAAACTTTTGACTGGTACCACTTATTCTCAGTAAGAGGCTGCATAGCTTTTTCAGTCCTTCCACATGAATTCTGAGGAAGCACATTAACTAACTAACTAACTAGATGGCTTATGGAACCTGAAGGTTCATCACAGAATTAACCAAAGCCCTCCACTGGTCCCTGTAAAAAGACATAATCTCTTCCTCTCTGTCTACCTAAAACTCTTTGTAACCACCTCCCAATATTCCCATGATTATTTCCAGTGATCCTCACCTCTTCAATTAATGCTAGATAACTTCAGTAATTTATCCAAAATTGATAAATGTGTTCCTTTTCATGCTCATACTTTCTTTAGGGTTATAATGTGTTTACAAGCGCAACAAGCAACATGGCTGAAGTCCAAAAGCCAGTACAATGCAATTTTTATGGATAGCTGCTGAGAAAGCAAATTCTGACAAATCACAAATTTTGGTATTTTATAGGAAGAACTTGTTGGTATTAGCAACAGATAGACTTCTACAACAGACATGCTGAAATAAGCATGTGTTAGTTCAAAATACAACAGAGTAATCTGTGCTTAATACTTAATTTTAACATTCTTTTCAGTTCAGAGATACTTAAACAGATATAATGTACAATTTTGCAAGAATCTGACTTGGAGAATTATACAAAAGCAGGCTAAACATTGTAAATATTAAGGTACAGAGTGTTAAATTTGTGCAGCAGAAGTTATTGTGTGATGTGGCCGAGGTTGTTCATCCTGAGATGGAGCTGCTTCTGATGAGGTTGTATCGAAACCCTCATGACTGCTTAATGTGTTCATTTCCTTCATCTTTTATTAAAATGCAGCTCCAGTTTGTGACACACCTTATATATAAAACAGTGCTTGGAGTGAGTTGGGCAATTGTTCCTGTGGTGTCCAGCAGACTGTAAACCCTCCAATTAACTCCCTTTCTAATATGTGATATTTGTATTGGCTCACTGCATCAGAAAGTGTAACATATTTATTATCTCTATATTCTATAAGTTATTATTAAAGTGAAGCAGGGCTGGTTGAATAATATAAAACAGGGAAGATTTCAACTTGTGACCTGAAGGGCAAGAAAGAGAGAACAAAATATGGGATTCGAAATGAAGTCCTCAAACTTGATCTGATCTAAACACAATCAGAATAGTCCATAAGAGATGGAGGGCTTATGCTTGTATAAAAGACAATATGTGTAACCTTTAGGTGTTCATATACCATAATACATGTCACTCTTGCTCCCAGCACTGTAGCTACTGTGATGTGGACAATATCCTCAGTGTTGTAAGAAACAGTTGTGAATACTGGGAACACATTTTGTATCTCAGAATCAGGTATCCTTCATTTTGCTCCACAAATAGCTGGAAAATTCTGAGATACAATACCCCAATGACCAGATATTTAAACAAATTTGGACAGGCTGTGGAACTGGCCGTCTTTTTAGCGCGGTGTATATTTGTAAGGCAAAGTATTGTGTGACTTTTCATGTCTTGAAAGAGACTTGTTCACATTCAAGACACTGTGCATCAGGGCATAAGAAATCGGTTGCCCACTCACCAAAAGCAAGTTAAGGGATAGAGTATAAAAAGTGTGTTAAGCATCCTGCTAGACTATTGCATATTGGATTTTTGGAAGTGGTTAGTAGATTCAAGTTTTATTTGTGGACTATGTTCTGCATGACCGAAATGAACTGAATCATCCATAGTTGCGAGTTTAACCACTAACAGACCACGAATAGAAGTGCTAAAGACACCTTGAAAGCCACTCAGGTGTCAAGTGACTAATAAGCTTCTTTCAGTAGAAAAGAAACTTATATATCAGTCATATGTGTACAGGAAATATTCAAATACAACAGTAAATAATGATGTTTCTATCATCCACAAAGAAATGTAATCATAAACAAATGACAGCCCTTTATAAAAATGAAATTATTTCTTTGATAGAAAAAACTTAACAATTTCTGTACTGAAGATTGCTGTCTTCTGGGCTGTTATGCCATGTAGTATGGTAGATGTCCACCAATATTTCAGAGGTCATACTGCCTCTGTCATCAGGATGATGAATGAGCCAATAGAGCGAAAAATGCTAGGTTTATAGGGACGGCCTGATGATGGACAGAGTGTCATACTCTGAAACGTTGGTGTACATCTACTATACTACACGGCGTAACAACCCAGAAGACAGCAATCTTCATACCCACCGCTGTGAAAACCTCAAATCCAACAATTTCTGTACTGCCCCATAAATATCCAAGAAATGAGTATAATTAAGCCTGTCTTTGGTGAGTACCAGAGAGAAATCTAACTGATACTAAAATTTAGACTTTTACTGCAACAGACAACCACACTCACAGTCTGGTCCAAAGTTTCAATAAGTTATCAAGAAGTTCAAAAAAAAAATATATATATTTTGCTGGTTTTGAACAGTACAAGAATAAAATCCTCACACCACAATCTGTTCACCCATTTGCTACAATATGTGTGATGTCACAGTCCCTAAATAATCCTAAGCAGTATCGATCTGGTGAGCACTGTAAAGATAAATTTTATATTATACACTGTTACATGGCATGAACCAATAAATTATGTGCCCTTGCACAATATTCAATATAAGAAACCAATGGATAAATTGGAAACAGAAGTCTTTGTTCATTCATTGACAGACATGTCGAGTATATGTCCATTCATTCCATTTACTATATTTCTTGATAACACAACAATTATACAAACTGATGTTTAGAAGGTTGTCTGTGAAAGGGAGGTGAGAAAATAATGGCTTCCAGTTTTACCACTGCCTGGTAATGTAGTAGGCAATGTGTGCAGTGTCTTGGATGTGAATGAACAGCTAAGTGTTGACCTCATTATCTCCAACATTCAATGAGCAGTGAGTTCTGTGTTCTATTATTCTTTCCCAGAACACAAGGCAATTTGTTATATCATTGTGTATACAGATGTATTTGCTAAAATTATGGAACATTTGAAAAATGCCAAAGATTACTAAATAAAGAGTCATGCTAGCATTAATGCCCTCTGATTCTGTTTATCCTGCTTAATAATATTTATAGGTTGTCCATTGACATGTTCTACCTATCAGCCTCTTGCAATGCCAAGTTACATATGATGGGATTATTATGAAAATAAGGTGGTACAGACATGGAAAGAAGCAGTTACATTTATAATATTATTAGAAAGACTGAGAAAGACCACAAAAAACTTTCAGGATAATCAATTGCTAGTCGCGACTCAAATTCATGCCTCCAAATGTGTAGTGAAGTTAATATGGAAAGCACAAGTCACATATTACCACTGCGCTACTACATATGTATTTTGACCACCATGTCACAATCACCCCCAAAACTCAACTCAAACATCCATACCAATCATGACATTGTGAGAAAATGAGAAGTCTTAACAACAGATTGTGTCAAGGCAACAAATTCACAGTGACAAGAAAAGTGGACTAACCAAATACACTGGTGCAGGCTGTAGGCTTCTAACTGTATTCAGGTCATACCAATCCTCAAATTCCAGTTATGTTATTGGGTATTCTGACTGAATTCTTCGTGGCTTTATTTAGTCTCTCCAAGTAAATACTGCTTTGACGTATGTTAAGACAGTCTACTTCCAAATCCCATACATGTTCACCATTCATGATTACCTTTTCATATCTCATCTGACAGTATATGTCTGTGACTTATATATTGTCATTAAATAAGCTGTGGAATAGGTCCTGGATACTTCTCTTCTTCCTTTCCAATATAGGCCTTATGGCCTGTTACAGGCATTACATAACAAAATCCTTCCATTGTTTGAGGGGTCAACCCAAACTTCTTTCCTTCTGGGTAATAAAAGTAAAGTAAAGTAAAGCATCCCACTACATGCCTATGTAGGCACTTGGGGGGAGTGGAGGTATAGCTCCTACTCTTTCTTGACCTCGGCACCAGGTGGGGGTGAGTGGTCAGCATCACGCCCCAGCTGTGCTTTACCCCGGGAAAATGACCCCATAACCATTGGACAGGAGGCTGGGTCGGCCCCAGAGCCGGTCTAGACGCAGAGGCTAGAGGAAAAATCCTCTGCCCCCGTCGGGGATCGAACCTCAGTGGCCCAGCCCGTAGGTAGTCACTATACTGACTGAGCTATCCCAGCTCATCCTTCTGGGTGGTATCCTAAAATAATTTTGGGTATCCTGCCTGAAATCATTCTATGTACATGTTGTTTCCAGTTTTTTCAGTACTGTGTCATAAAATATATTATTGGTGTAATGTTTAGTTGCTTTTCCACAATGTCCATAAGTTCATTTCTTTTGTAATCAAAAAGTGTGTAACCCAAAGTTCTTATGAAATGCATTTCTGCTGATATAAATAGTTTATATCATTACTTCAGACAGTACATGATTCACTACCATACCTGAGAGTTGGTCTAGCAAGAATCTTATAAATATTAATTCTGGTATATTTTGATATTAAGTTTGGTTTGAAAATTAGGTTTGTGATACCTGCTATTTTCAAATAGTTAGTGATTTTTATATTCAGATCTTTTTCTTCCTCATAGGACAGGTGACATCCCAAATAACTGAAAGTATTAACTTGTTCTAGGGTTTTATTATTAATACAGATTTTGCTCCTTACTGGTTCTCTTCCATTGAAAGCCATTGCTTTAGTTTTCCCATGTCCTGGATACAGATAACATTATTTATTTATTTAATGACATTGTCAGTAGTTCAGATTCTATATCATCAAATCATTAATGATATGGAAATACTGTAGAGGACGTGATCTTGGCTTAGAATAAGGTACTATCCCAGCAGTTATTTGGAGAGGATGAGGAAAACCACAAAAATCCTCAGACAGAACAGTCAGTCTCTGGGCCAAATTTTTAACCCAAGACCTAACAAATAAAAATCAAGAGTGTTAACCACTTGACTTTGTGATTCAGTACAGCTATCCTTGTTGAAGTTTGTGCCTGTGCCACTGCTCTGATTGTCAGTCACCAGTTTTTTACTGTGAAGGCCTGGGTTCATTCCCATGTGATGTGTGTGGACAAAGTGGCAGTGGAACAGGTTTTACACTGTCAATCACCATTCTATTGATACTCTGTGTACATGTATCATCATCCTCTTTAACAATACATCCATTTAAGCTTCCAACTCCTATCAGTAAAAATCTTAGTGAGACCTTACATGGTTTCCCTCAGTCATTCATTGCAAGCAATAAAATGTACTTATCATGATCACATCCTTTTCCTTTTTGCTTATTTATTTTCTTATTTTTCTTACTACCCTTTTTTACTCATTCCCTAATGCCATTACAGCATTTTAAAAACTCAATAATCCTTATAGATGCAAATAAGTAAAATGTGTCTCTTGGTCTACTACTTTTCCATTTAACCTAGGGAGTGTTTTTCATAAGAGCAACACTGCTGTCAGATACTAGTATAATGATCTGTGCTGAAACTGCATGTTTTGTCTGCAGGGACACAGCCATTAGCTGGAGCACAGTTCCATGCTACTCCAGTAGGGGGCACCCCACAAATCACTCCACTGGTTACCCAACAAAAACATCCATCATGCAGCAGTTTCATATCAGAATTACTGGTCAATATAAGCAGTCAATTAGTTGCAATTGCACTTGTGATCAAAACCATCTCACATGGGAATACTTCTGCCTGAACTTCCTCTATACATACAGTCCTGACTTATCTGTCTGTTATATTTTGTATCGCCAAAACAATGTGTGAATATTTTTAAGAATTGAGATGAATATTTTGGCAAGTTTATTTCAGAAACAATAAACAAAAAAATACATTTTCTATGAAGAAATGCTTCTTTTTGCAAGTCCATTGCAGAAATATACAAATAAGGAATAAAAATGCTTCTTTTGGCTAGTATTCTTAATTTCCAAACCATATCCATTTCCTTACCAAGTACAAAATGTGTATGGCCATAACTTTATTGGAGTTTTGTAGAATCTGTATTTCCTTTTGGTGCATTTGAGTATTTGAGATTATACATTAGAACTTTTAAATTTTGTATGAACACAGATTTTTGCAAATTTTCCATAGTAATTTTTGACATGAAACACACATAACTATATAGTTTCCACACAAAATATGTCTTGTGAATTCAAAACTTACTATGAATAGTTTTGTTAAATGGTATTTGGCACAGTAAATTACAAACATACCTACAGTCTTTAATTAGAGCCATTCTTTATTAAAAGTTCCTGCTTTGAGACTCTGTAAACCTCTGAGGTTGGCATTTTTGTGTCCTTGTGCCACATATTAAATTAATTTTGCCAATACTATTTACTCTCATAAACACTAGCTTCAAAATTTCATTTGAACTACAAAACTGAAAACAAAACAAATAAGGAGTAAATTTTTCTTTTCTGTGTGATGGATGATCATGACTAGTGAAAAAGAAAAAGTGGTCACAGCCTATTTGTTGACACCATCCTGACAACTACCAAAAGGAACTCAGAGAAACAACATAAAACCAATCAGATAAGGCATCCCACTCTCCCCTAAGCCAAGTTATGAACCAGGTACCTTCTAAATAAAAGTCAGAGGATAAATCATAGAATTAAACTTGTTCATATTCTAGGGGATTTGCTGGGAGCACAGGGAACTGGAGGCATGGTGGGGATACTCTGACATATCCACTACCATATCTCTCTTTAAAGCATTCTGGTTGGTCCTGTTTATAGGGAGGGGATATGGTAAGGTGTAGTGGTGGCAGAGATATTTGAGGCTGAGTTATTAAGACAACTACCCCAGTCAACATCTGATTACTATCACAGCGACACACAACATACTGACAGCAAGGTAAGCCTAGCATCATGACACTTCCAAGATCTTTTAGCACACAATAAAAATGTGAATAGATTTATTCTGGATGAGATTTAAGGTTATCATGATAGCAAGTATGAAGATGACTGTATTCTGAATGTTGCACCATGTAGTTACCCCAACGATGGAGGCAGCATGCACCTTTGAAACGTGGGTAAGCTTCTATCACATTACACGGAGCAACATCCAAGAAGTCAGTAATCCAAATTAATTCTGTTTCCACTTATAAATCAGGGTGGGAAAGGTGCCTGAAATACTTGGGCATGCATACAAATCAGGGACATCAACTCTTTACTTTTCAGCAAGAGTGGTAAACTATTTAAATCTCACTTGTGGTACAATACATGAAACATTCTTTTTATTCGATAAGCATTTAACAGGACTTGCTGGAAAACTATTTAGGGTTTCAAGAAATATAATATTAGTAGTATATTTCTCCATAAGAACGTAATGGGGGCAATTCCCATTAGAATAATTTCAACAAACAAAAGCATTAAGATTAATTGCTATAATTCTATCTGATCAGTCCCTATGACAATAAAATGGTGCCAATCATTATTAAATGACCTGCAAATTAATCCTGCAAAAATAAAGTATGGCTTATCCCATTATAATATAATTATGTATTGTCAAATGAATAATAATCCTAACCAACTAGTTTCATGGTTTTATAATACATATTTCATAATTTACTTCCACCATAACTATACTATGCTCAATTATGAGGTGCAATGAGGATATAACAGACATTCAAATAAATACTCCATATATACATTCCTTCCACTCTGTGGTCTCAGCAATAAAGCAGACTTTCATTCTCCATATTGCAATACAGAGATCAAAGGCAATTCCAAAAAGTTAAAGTATTATGTGAAGTAACTCAGCAGATGACACATTATAGTGAATAGTGCACCAATTATCCATTTTATTTAACAGGCTCTGTCAACTTCGCATAACAATATATTCAGTGGTTGGCAAGTTTGTTACTATAGGTACAAGAAGTCAAGAGCCATCAAAACTGGCATGAATAAACAAGTATCATGTAGAATCAAGCACTGTCCAACACAGGTTTCTCACACTACATGCATACAAACATGAAGATCTATGCAATATCTATAGAAACTTTTAATTTCTTACTCACCTTTCTTCTCTTTGTATCTTTCAAGATGGTAAGCGAGGTAGCATGGTGGTTCCGAAGCTTGCTTCTGTTCATCCTTTTCTTCGTGGCTGTACCATCTACAGTCCAACAAGGAGAGGATGTGGCATGTGAGACTCTACCATCTGAAATACATATCATCAAAGGTTAGTTGTAAACAAAAGATAAATATTACAATTGTAATATTACAACTTCACAAAAAGCACTACTAATTTACTAAGAAACAGCATGTTACAAAACTCACTCATACAGTCACACCAGACTCAGTGGTTAATTCAAATGATTATGGTTCTCATTACTTCCTCACTCTTTTGAGGCAGACTCCTCCTATGTCTATACGTAACAAACGGTAGAATTATATGTCTAATGAGTTCTGAGTTGTGATGGCCATGTGTAGTTTTGTAGGTGCTTACTAACATTTTGGAGAAGCAGAAGTTATACGTCCACTGAACGTTAGTAAACACCTGTAAGGCCACATGGCATTACAACCCTGAAGACCACATTCCGACATTACTTACAAGAATGAAGATGAGCAATTTGCCGAATTCTTCCATCTCTTAACCAAATCCAGTGCAATACAAACACGTAAGAACACGAATTCTATGTTGGCCTTTTATACTAATAGAACAGTTCTTTCATCTGCGTAAAACATTTTCACTCCACACATATAAATTGCACTACTGCCATGGTTCATCTTCTACGAACAAAGAATCCATCAAAAATTTACGCTCATCATAAACACACTAGCAGATTCATTTGAACTTCGAACGCATTTATAAGGCGGAAGTATGTCCAATATCGAAATTCGTGGTACATTTTTACACTAAAAAGAGCAGCACTTCTTATCCTATTTTTCTATAAAGACATGACACTATAATAATTTCTTACTTTAGCCTCTTAATTTTCACTGTGGCAGATCTCTGACTTTTACGTTGACTTACATTTTCTTGTTGCGGGGGCAATGTTAATGTTGGCTATGTAACAAATGACTACACCTGATTCTCACCACAACTGTTAGAGGTCAGGCCGCCATAATGAAAGACGTATCATATAATACAAAAATAGGAACTATACTGCTTTACACCGCTACTGTCCTTTTCCAGATTAGTGCTGTCCACAATTCCTACCATATTTAAAATCCATTTTAATATCCATTTTTTAAAAACACATTCCATGGGTCCAGAAGTTAGAATGATATGTACAATACATAAACAAATATTTAATTTTGAGTGTTTAATTTTACACCAACATCAAAGACTAGTAGTTGGTGTTCCATTTCATTCCAATCCCTTCTGTTTTTCTTTGACTTTTCTTGTGTATTCTAAAACAAAGTTGAAAATCGATGATGATAAGAGCTGAAAGATGGCTGTCTTCTGGGTTGTTCCGCTGTGTAGTCTGGTATAAGTTTACCGATGTTTCAGAGGTCCTTGCTACCTACTTCATCAGGTTCTCTGATAATAGAGGCAATAGATTTTGTTTAAACACATTTAATTAGCCTATAAAACCATTTAGAAAACTTTTTAAAAACATCCACAACATCAATTTCCATAAACCATTACAACCCAGAAGACCAGCATCAACAAAATGTTACAGCATTATTACTTATCAATTGGAGACAGTAAATATATACCCTCTGCTCCCACAAAAAGCAGATCTACCCTGATGCATAAACAATGTAATAGAAACCTGATACTGTGTTGGCAGATCAGGCTGTCTGTGACATTGTATTGCAGAATAAGTAGTCCAGCAAAATGGTTTATCAGCAAATTTCTGTTTAAAATGAAATATAACTAGTATTCACATTATATAATGACAAGTAAAACATACTGGTCTCACCTTTCAGAGGAATTTGATGACCTTGGACGTCTGCAACGAACATGTAGCAGTGAAGTGAGTGTCAATAAGTGTGAAGGTGCATGCACTTCACAGGTGCAGCCCAGTGTGATAACTCCTACAGGATTTCTCAAGGCAAGACCAAGTAAAAGACAGTCACAAATAATAATTCTAGTTTTATTTCAACATTATTATCCATTAATAAGGCATAGTAATTTTACATACTACCTAATACCATTTAGTACATTTTCTATCTTCCTGTATTCTATTGAACAATTTGAAGATTAAAATAACAGAATTATAATTTTTAAACTTGATTTCTAACTCTCAAAGATGAACACAAGTTTCAGAGTATTTTGGAACAGAGTGCTGAGGAGAATATGTAAACCTAAGAAAAAGGATGAAAATGTTATATATGAAGAGTTTCATAATCTGTATACTAATATTGTCAGAGTAATTAAATAAAGAAGGATGATATGGACAAGAGTGAGAATTTTTACAGACATTCTAGATTTCAAGATGTACATCCTAATTTCTCATCTTTGAATATGAGTAACACCAAGCTGATGACGGTTTCAGGAATGTTACTGTTGTCGTGAGAGTTTCCTGCGAGAGCGTATCATCTCACTGACTCACTGTTATGATCCTGATGGCATCAGGCTCACTCAAGAGGGGCAGGCATCCCTTGATGTCAAGATCAGAGAACCAGCTGACTGTAAATGTTTCAAGTGTGGTGACTTCTCACGCTGATTTTTAATATAATGACTGATCTGCCAGAACAATGGCAATTTATGTAATCAGCAATGACCCTTATTTTGTTAAATTTAGGAGATGCAATGGCTACATTTAGAATTTAAATTGAAGATTAGATTAAACAACTAGAATCTTTCAAAAGATATGTGATTATTTTTATTGATACAAAAGCTGCTAAAATTAAATGCTAATTTATGTTTACCACATTTATAGTGCAAATACCATTAGAATTTGAAAACAATATTATAGGAAATTATAGTTATAATTTTTTGTACATTTATTTAATTAATCTGTCATACAACAAGCCCTAATATTAAAATGAATTTTATTAAAAGTTTCATATGTGTATAAATTCAAGCTTAATAGTATTTTTATGTCTTTCTGTGTTGTTAATGAAACATCCATGAATGCAATTTAGCAACTGCCTGATTAAAATTTGTTAAAATGTAAAGTCTTTGAAAATGTAATTCTAAATTCCTGGTTTAAAGTTTGTTACATACACAAATCAAAACACTTTTATAAAGCACTACAATCTCCTTCTATTCTGGAAGATAAATATAAGTACCAAACACCATGTAAATAAGAGCAAGTATTAAGGCATAACAGCATAATACATCATAGCTTACTTTGATACCAAAGAAGGCACCAAAGTCTTACAAAATTCTCTTCACAAAGTGTATTATGTTAGCTTATGCTGTTTAATATTTTAAACTTCAATTCATGATTCAGTTTGTTTTCTCTTCAGAGTGAACACAATAAATGCTATTTCAAAATGCTGTTGCACATTTAACAACTTTTCCTTTCTACACAGTCTCCATATCCCAGGTCATATAGACCTTGCCTATCTATAGGGATAAACCCCTTTGAAGGAAGGACTTTCATTTAGAACTTCACAATCACTTTCTGTAATACTATTCCTGGTAATTTTTTATCATATAGAAGTTGTTCATTCTCCCACTATTCATCTTGTAATATTTTCATATTAGAGTGAGTTGGTACATTTCAGCAATACCTTTGCCATGCAGTTCATTGTTAAGTTTTTAGATTGTTTACTTAACAATAAAAATAGCATCAAAAACTTGTATATTAACTTATGAGGCTAGTATTTGATCCTCAGACAATTAATTTAACAATAACTGGCCCAAAACAGTTGTATTAGAACTTCAGATTTCAGAATTATCAATGCAACCTATAGCCACATCTGTTGGATCATATTTGCAGAGTACGCACTTGTTCTGAAGCCTTCACTTCTGACAGAGATAAAGCTCTGTGAAAATTAAATAGTGAAGTATACCAGGAACCATGGTTTGGAACTCATGTTAAGCCGTGAGTACTGCATGCCAACACTAATCTACATAACCACCCTATCACTGATGTTTGTATCTCATAAATAATTGCCGAGGGTCAACACAGGTCAGGAAAGATTATCATAGAACATCTCTGGGTACATTAAAAACCAACCGACCTACCTATTTTTAGGGTTCATGAATAAGACCCAAAGAACAACCCACACCAAGTTCATTATTGTGTTCGCAATGCCCCACACTACATTCTTAAAATCTATTTTAATACTGTCATCCCATCTATTTCTAGGTCTTACAAGTGTTCTTTTCCCTTCAGGATTTCAAATGAAAATATTTTATAAATTTATCATTTCCCCAATGTATGTTATATGCTCAGTCTATCACATCTTCTTTTGATTTTATCTTCCTAATAATATTTGAAGAAGAATTCACATTATGGAGCTTCTCATGACAGAATTTTCCCCAACCTGCTGTCACTTCATCCCTATTAGCTCCAAATATCCTCCTCAGCACCCTGTCCTCACTCTCAATCTGTGTTATTCTTTCAATGTAAGAGACCACACCTCAAATTCATAAATAACAACAGGTAAATTTAAATTTATAGTTCTGCATATTTTCAAATTAAATTAAGAAGACAGACTGAACTTCATGAAAGCAAGCACTCCATAAATTCAATTTTGTCTTAATTTTTAATGAATGCAGTTTTCATTTGTTACTTTTTAAAAGATTTATTAGCAATCATTTTTATTACTTTGTTCTGCAGTCTGGTGGTGAGACATAAACATATACTTGAGTTTATATCTAGACAAACTTCCATACTAGCTTCTAATTGAGCTTGTTTGTTTTTCCTTATAATATGTATGTTTCCACCAAGTACATTAACATCAACAGCATAGACTAAAAGCTAATGTGTCCTATTCAATTCCAACTCCTTGTTTTCTTTAACCTCCATAATGGTATATTCTAAAGCAAAGTTGAAAATCAATAATGGTAAAGCATTTTGTTTCACACTAATATGAATAGGAAATGCATCAAACGTTTACCTGTACAGACTTTACTGCAATTTACACTTAAATCTACAATTCTACTGGTATTCCAACTTCCAAATTTCATGTCCATTTTCTGTTGCTTAGGTGGTTCCAAAAAATCTGTCCACATCTGAGGTCCTGTGTAATAATTCATAAAATGCTGGTTTTTATGGTAAGGAGTTGTTAGCTACTGACCCAACCTAAAAGCAGGAGGACCACCCCTTGTCAGCTGTCTGCAACTGCTTATTCAATATATTTGCAGCTACTCTCTGTACCTAAAGGCTGTTTTCTACATTGGTAATGTGAGAACATGCCATATTATGGGGACAAGGATCCTAATAAATACAGTGAACACAGCTAAAATTGAAGTATTGCAAAGGTAGAAGTTTGATGTGGTTAATTGCTAACTAGCAAAATATTCAGTGGATATTCCTTTTTAAATTTATGAATATTTATGGGCTGTACAAGTATACCAACTTATCATCTGTGTCTGGGGTAGTTGCTCTGCCAATCCCACTTTAGTTACGTCTCTGCCCCAAAATACAATACGTCATTATTATCAATGCACAGTTAATAGGAAAAAGTATATATTTTAATCCACTGCCATGATGGTCTTTTGGGTACAACGAAACTCAAATTATGTCACATGCTTTTAGAGTTTACTACATCACACAAACTGTCAAGATCATCAATGGTTCCAATGTTGCTACAACTTCTGTTTTTCATGGCTGTCATGTTGGTAACACTGAACATAAGTATTAAAAACATTTCAATATCATTAACATTCCTGTTATGCTTAAGATATTAATCAATTCATTTAGAGATTATTAGTAAGAGATATAACACAAATACAACATAGTTTGTGCTTTGAGGCTGTTCTTAGTTTTGGAAACCATTCAAAAATGTAAGTAAATTCAGTTTGACTTGAGGGTAATAATAAAGAACTGCGTTTATAGAAAGTAGCTTTTGTTTCACTTTGCTCAAACCATTTATTATCCTATGTTCAAGCACTCACAGATCAACTTTATAAAAAACAAGTCATTTTGTGCTCAAAGCAGCAGTGGTTGCCAGCATGAAACACTAATACTGCATTAAACCAGACATGGTCCCTCACTTCAGGGGATCCAGGAGTGACAGGAATGGGAAGGAGATGGAAAACTGCAGGAACACTGAGCCCATGCTGACTGACTCTCATAATGATATTTTCTTGTTAGTGACCAGACTCCATAAAGTATATTAGCAAACTTTAAAATGAGTGTGATTTAAGGTTCTCATGGTGAAAAGTATGAAGACAGCCATCTTATTTATAAAATCATATAATTTTATCCATTCTTACTTACTGCATTTCTTTTAAGGGATGTTATAAATTCTAAAGAGTAATTAAGAAGCTATATCAAGTTTAAGATTGTGCTAAATAACAAGATCTTAGAATAGATATTACATGTTAAACAATCTGGAATGTAATATTTTGAACCAGGAACATAGTGAAAGTAAAAATAAAAGAACAAAACTTAAGGTCGTTAGGGCAGCAAAATTATTCATATGAATGATGAATGATGCTACTCTCAAGAGGAGAATACATGATGCTTCGAAGTAAGTTGCACTGTAATAAAACATTTTAAAGGAAATGGATTCCTGGTAGCAAAAACGCCTAATCCTATTACAAATTTAAAATAAAGCTAGTTTGCACATAAAATATTGTATTTAAAGAAGGATTCCTTACTTAAACTCTCCCATCCCATAAGGGTCTTCAGACTAATGGCTCACTATCAAAACTGTTTGATGTTAAGTGAAATCTGAAAGTTTGGTTAATATCACACAATTTAGTCTTCCAGAAGTTTACCAGTGTTTAAGAGATACTTGCTGCCTCCATCATCAGGACCACTCAAAGCCCTGATGATGGAAGTAGCATGTACCTCTGAAAGAGTGATAAACTTCTACCAGACTGCACTGTGCTAGAACCCAGCAGACAGCCATCTTCATACTCACTTCTATGAGACCCTCAAATCCTACTAAAATTACAATCATTCTTTGGCATATTTGAGCACCAAAGAGAAAGAACTCTATTTCATATATTATAAAATCACAAAAGCAATAAATCATGAAGACTGATGGGCCAAATATGTAGTTTGAAAGAGGAAATAAAAAGAAAACAAACAACAAGTGCATAAAGAACCTTGGCTGAAGAACTTCATGGGACATGCCATTTTGAATATTAAGATTTAAGTAAAAAATAGGTCTTAGGGAAATATTGTGTGTGTGTGTGTGTGTATTTACATTTGCTCTCAAGTGCAACAATCCACATCACTGCAATACCATGGAAACATTAAAAAAAAGCATTACATGTGTCACAGGATTCCGGCAGCCTGAGATTGACTCAAACAACAGAAAACAATTACACTATTGGTTTGAACTTCCCCATATGCCACAAGCTGCCTCTCCTGGATCAATAGCCACCAGCAATCACCCCTACCCACTCCACTTCTTATGTTTATATATAATGTGTCAGCTACCCATGCTTCTCCGAACTCTTGTTTAGTCTGCCACGTGGAAAGTTGGTTCTGCATCCCATGGCTTGCCAACAGCCTTCCATTCAACAGATTGGTATGTACAAAATCAGTAATTAAGTAACATTTACTAAGAAAACTGATAAAGCACATACTAAGTGTTCCAGTCCTATAATAATACTGTAGATGTTAGACCTCTTAAAATAAGACATAAATGAGGTTCATGCAGATTGAAGGCATTTAACTAAACACTCAACTATCAGTTCCACATCTTTGGGAAGTGTCATAGCACAGGCAACTGAAAACTATCTTATCATTGTGGAGGCCCAGGTTCTATCCAAAAGCAATTAATATGGGATCTATTGTGGATAATGGGGCAGGACTGTCTCATAAATACCTAAGTTTTCCTCTGACAATCAATAATCTAACTTAATGCTTTATACTTAGCTTTCACTGCCATTATTGCTAAGGAATGAGATATGACTCAAGCAGTCAACAAAAGAAAAGTAGGATTTCAGGTTCTCACAGTGATGAGTATGAAGATGGCTGTCTTCTGGGTTGTAGCACAATTTAATCTGGTAGAAGTGCAACATGTTTGTTTCCTCTACCATCAAGGCAGTGATCACCCTGATGTTATAGCAGTAAGAACCTCTGAAAACTTTGGTAAACTTTTATCAGACCATACAGTGCTATAACCCAGAAGATACTCATATTAAACACAATGCAATATCATAATCTCAGTCCTCAATCTGGGCTTCGATTCTTACCTGACACTCAACAGGAGTTCATGATGTTCACGTGCCTCTGTGCTTTGCTCTGACATTGGATAAATGGTTACTACTGAAATATTGTACTGTGAGCGTTTACTAAATTCTTTATTAGAAGTACTTCTGATCTAAACTAAATTATATGCAGTATCCCTTGAATTAAGACCTACATACATTTTGAATATATATTATAACAAATAATGGTCAGAGCAAAATATGTTTTAAATAAAAATTGCACATTTGATAACATAAACTTTTCACATTCCTTACTCTTTCTTGAGATAACCAGTGCATTTCAAGGCAAAACTTGTAATATACTGGTTACTAAATTAAACCATACCCTACTTTTTAAAGGCTTTTTAATGTTCTCTAAGTGGTTTCTTTTACTTCACCCACAATTTGTCTGATAGGAAGAAAGAAATACACAAATACAGTTATAACATCCAATATCCAACCTAGGATCTGAATTATACACTTTTACATACAAATCAAAATCTCTACTACTGAGCAAAACTTGCTTGGTATTGAAATATAATACATTTAGATTCCTGAATAAAGATGTTACATCTAATTTTGCAGTATCTGACCTGTACCCTGAATAATGCACTTGAATGACTACTATTCTTGCTTTATGTTTGGGAGGTTTGAGATTCTATTTCCAATGTAGAGGACAAACTGACAGGTTTCTGGGTTTTCTCAGCCACTTCAGACAAAGAAGCTAAAACCCTTTTCGTTCACATCCTTCTCAGTTTAACATCCCTAGCACTCATCCACCCATTTTATACTACAGAGTGTCTCACTTAAAGTGTAACTTGACATGATAGCATGCCACAGAGGTAGTGAGTAGAACTACCAGGAAATGAGTTAGTCAAAAAGCAAGCCATAGCTGTTGCATGCTGTACTGACCAACATGAACAGTGGCAACTGAATTTTGGATGCTTCTACACATCTACTGTCAAGTGCCTTCATCAGTCTATCTGCATTAGTCACTTGTATGCTCACCTGTGTAGTTGGCATATAAAGCATTCAGTTACTACAAGCATAAAACAAACACCAGCATGTCAGTTCATGATGTTGCCAAAGCATGAGAACATGCTGCTGAAGTGTGTGACACAAGAATTATAAGTGTACAAAAATTATTAGTGAGCACAGTATTAGGTTGGTTCCAAGTTACATGTGACTCTGTCTATGAGTATAACCTATACAGTTGGGAGTATTGTTCAATTAACTAGAAAACAATCGCCTATCAGCTGTTTCAGCTGTGCTGCTTCTGTCACTGGGCTATGTTGTGCTGGTGGATGCAAAGGATGAGTGTCAGGTGACACCAGTCATACATGTGTTGCAGTACCCAGGTTGTGTGCCCAAACCTATCCCATCATTTGCCTGCACTGGTCGTTGCAGCAGTTATCTCCAGGTAACTTAGCCCACTTTATGCTGGTTTATTTATTTATGGCTTATTTAACGATGCTGTTTCAGTAGCTCAGACTATATAGCGTCAAAGGAGAAGATGATAGTGAATAATGAATTGGAAAGGACATGGAAGGAAGCAGTCATGGTCTAATTCAAGGTACTATCCTGGTATTCACCTGGAGGGACTGAGGAAAACCACGAAAACCTCAGTCAGTATAGCCGGTATCAGGGCCGAGATTTGAACTCGGAATCTCCGAATACAATGCATAAGTGTTAACCACTCGACACTGGTTTCATCCACCTGTCTATGCATATGGTAACATGTATTAATTTTAAATACCAATGTAATAGGATGTGAATATAACTATGTATCATGTTTGAAATAAACAAAGAGTACTAATGAAATTTTGATTGGAATATTGTATAGGAAAAGATGAAGAATAGATGAGAAAAATCTATGAAAGAACACATTAGAGAAAGTCTGTGAGGACATGAACTGACTCAGAAGAAGGTCCACTGGAGAGAGTTTCTGGTGATAAAATCATTAAAGTACCATAGCATACAAGTTTTTGAAAGCCAAATAACTATCAACTGCTTGTAGCATTAATTTAATATAAAAGAAATTTCTCCCTTTTCAACTGAATTTGAAGACTTCTGGCCATGTTTGGCAGTCCAACAAGACATTCTTTCCACTGTATTCATATTTATTCAAGAATGGACAAATCAACAAACTCTGAAGTAGGGAAACATACAAGACAAACTGAATACAATTTTAGATGACTAATATATGTTAGCCTGATACAAGCATTTCTCAGAAAGAAGCAAAATGTTTTCAGATTAAAAATGACATGTCATAGCTTTATTTATTTGTAGGATTGTCAGTCACAGCTTCAACTGAAAACTGGATGTCACTCAGGAGCATGTTATAATATAATAAACTAACTAAATATACATGTATATTGTATCAACATTCCAGGAATTACAATGTTTCCAACATGGCACTTAACAAAAATGTAATTAAGTAATACTGCTCATTTTACAATTACATAAGACTGTGTAATTAATTAGAATACATAACCAAAACTTCACTGTTACATATTAAGTCATTATCTCTAAATTAAAATTGCATAAATACTGTATTTAAAAGAAAACAAAATATGATTCCACATATATGTGTATTACTGAACATGACATTTAATTTAAAAGATATGTTTTAATTTAAAACGTGGGCTTTCAGTTCTCAATTCAAATGAAGTGTATAAAGTGACCAAGTCCTAAGCTGCAACTACTTACAGGTATCAGGGTCCAAGATCTGGCAGATGGAACGCTCATGCATGTGTTGTCAGGAAAGTGGTGAACGTGAAGCAAATGTCTCTCTGTTCTGCCCAAAAGCTAAAGCAGGAGAACGAAAATTCAGGAAGGTGAGCTGCTTAGGACAACTCTGATAGTTTTAGGTCAAAACACAATCTTAAAAACTTACAACCATCAAATCTACTTATACGTTTTGCAAGTCTTTTTATATAATAATTCTTCATGTTGTTTTGTTCTGGATTATGAGGCCATGTAACCTTGTCCAAATTCAGGTTGCTTGACAATTCAGAAGACCAAAGACCTTCACTGCCATGAGAACCTTAAATCTCATATCATTCCATTCACTTAAAATTTACTATTATTTTTCTGCACAAAACAGTCAAATTTATCAAGTTAAAGAGTAAATCTGTATCCAGAAATGCCATACTAATCCCAGCTATTTATTTTAATCCTTTGCTCTCCTAAATAATAGAGGGTAGTAAAATTAAAACAGCCTTATCCTGATCCTGTAAAGTCTTGCTTAAAAAATAAGTACTTGCAGAAAAACTGATCTGATAGCACCTCACACTAGCATTAAAAATAAAATAAGCCTGTAGTAATAAAGTGACTGATTAACAGAATCCTTCTTGAGAGGATAACAGTACACTCAGCTACTCAATTTCTCGGCCTTTTATGGCACTGAAAGGTTCATTACCATGATTGCAAGGTAATCAAACACTCAAGTAAGTCACTACATCTATGCACTAGAATACTCTTAAATAAAGAACAGATTCTAATTAAAACATAATTTAATAATTATTTCAAACATTAAATTTACATTCTTATCTAGACAACATTGGATGGTGGACATGGTTATGTTTCCTAAAGCTAATTTCGAAGGGATTCTGATATACAACTTAAATCTACCAGCCACTTAACAAAATCCACTTATCAAGTATCATCAAAGTATGCTTCAAGCAAACAATTTAACACTGAATGTTAAGAACAGGAAACAAAAGTAAAGTGCTCCTCATTTGCTTTCTGCACCTTACACATGTCAATTGTTTATTAAATTTTCATAAACTGTGGATAAAAATGTAAACATTACATTACATTAACTAATGGATAGGAAGCAAGAGTATTTCTGGATCCCTAGCCAAGGGAAAAGTTGAAAAAATTAAGAACATACTATCATACTAGCATGATCTTAATTCTGGGATTAATGAGAAGTATTAATATTTTTGCAGTAGCTTAGGTTTATTTGTACAAAAATAATTTGTTCAGGTGAGCACAAAAGCACCACTGGAATGCATGTGTCGGCCCTGCTCAACAGTGGAAGAGAGCGCGGTCATCCCACAGGAAATTGCAGGCTATGCAGATGAAGGTCCACTCAGCAATCATTTCAGGAAGTCTCTATAGGGTTGACATAACTTTCAATAAACTTGTTTAAAATCTGTTTATTTCTGAAGACTGCGTTACTGTAATAAACTTGTATCACTTTTATTCCCTCATGCCTCAACACTTGGTAATATGGGGCCATTGTACACTATACAGTTGAATGACACTATGTGAATCTATAAGAAAAAGTTAAAATTTATTCCAGTGTTTCCATTTCCTTATCAGTTACTAATGATGTTATGAGCTATAAAACAAATAGCAATGTACTGGCTTGGAGAATACATTATTATTTATGTCAAATATTGAATATGCATGGAATTTGCAATATACAAAGTTGATATTGGTGCTACGAGTAAGGAGCTAAAATATTTCTGAGGCTGAAATTGCTACTTGAAAGTAGAACATATATAAATTGTGAGGTATTTTTCAAACTCTGGAAGAAGTACTATAGCAAGGAAGTAAAGATTACAGTCTAAGATCCATAAACTTATTAATGTTTGGATGACGGAACAATTGCAGCAGCAATAGAGAGAATCTACTGCTGTACCTATTTTAGAAAAAAGAGTGATAAAATTCGCTCTGAGATGTGCAGAATATCATGCGCAATGACGCCATCAACTTACCATTCACGTCACGACTTATAGCATCCGCCCCGTTGGTATTACTGACCGCAGAATAGCATAAGGTACGAAATTGGAATATTCACCCATGGTATAACAACCATACAATGAATTTCGGTCCAGCCTTTCTGTATTGATTAAATTCGTCCTAATGTTGGGTCATGAGCATACCCAGAGGTGCTTGCGCAATGGCGTCATCTTCGAACCATATCTCGACTTCAAGCGAGTCTCACGTTGGTATTACTGATTGCTGGTAGTCATGAAGTATTAAATTATAAGTCACTCGTGGCATAACGATCATACAAAATTTTAGTAATTTCTGACCGCTCATTCTATATTAATATTGTTCGTCCAAAAGGTTTAGTTGCGGGAACGTCAGATTTTGTTACGAAGGGTTAGGTTAGGTGGGTGATGCGCAGAGTATGGCGTCACCAACGTACCAACCACCTCACGACTTCAAGCAACCGTCCCGCTGGTATTACTAACCGCAGAATGGCACAAAGTATGAGACTGTTTTTTTCTCCCGTGGCATAACAATCAAACAAATTTCATTAACTTCCACTCATCCATTCTGTACTTATTAAATTCGATCAAACGGATCGGTTCCGGAAATTTCAGATTCGGATAGGTTGGTTTACATAGGTTGTTATTCATATGCACATAGGATCGCGGTAAATAGCGTCATATCACTTTACATCACAATATCAAGCAATTCGTTAGAGAAGTTATTTGCAAAGGCAGGTAACGGGAATTAAAGAATTTAGGCTGGAAAACTTATTCACATGCGTTGACTACCATGGTCAATGGAGTCCTCGTCGTCGCATCTCATGATCTTTACTTCGCTCACTCTATAAAGCGTAAATTTCAGCAAACAGTATTAAAACACTTACCTTTCTTTGTCTCCTGGTATTAAGGTGACTGGTGCTAAACATAATTCACAGGTCTACCGTAGTTTTCTTCTGCACCTGCATAAAATTCCGTGGTTTGTATTAGCCACGATCGTTTCTTCAATATCATACACTATTTCATCAATTACTATAACACTTTTCGTCGACGGTAAATAATCTTTAATGTTTGGGAAGGGCCATTAGTACAGTAATGAACATGATCTTCTAAAAAAAATTTGACGTTAGTTTACCACTTAATAAATTACAATCAATACCAATGGTCTAATCCCTATCAACATCTGCTGACCTCATGCAAAACATGGCTGCCGTTATTTTATTAGGATCCAGTCCCAGCAACCAAGGGGCACAAGGCCCACGCCTCAGACTGCATGGCCACTGTGACCCCCACAATGTATAGACACTGCTTCAAAAATGTCACTATTGTGCTCTGTATGTAAAATATTATCAGTAGTGGACAAGCTCTACACAAATTTCTGGACCTGTGCCAGAGTTCCTGTCAATATTTCCAGACTACAGCACAGCAAAGATATTGCAAATCCCTATGATATAATTATCTCAACTTTGAAGAAAGATGTGATGGACCTACCAACCTGTTCAAATTTCTTTAAACTGTACATACCAGCCCATATTTTAGTAGTCACAATAGAATTAAATGATCATATTTAAACTGTACAACGCAGGCAAACAAGATATTTTCATCCCACATTACTCCCAGTAGTCATGACTTAAAACACGATATTTACAGACCATAAAATGCATGTGAGGCATTTTAATTTTGTGGCATATCTATTAAAAGTTATCTGACCTGCAATTGTTGAAGACACTTTACATAATTATCAACCAAGACAATAACCAACCAACCTGGAAACAAGAACATACACATGTTCCAGCCTAAGTTACAATACAAATAACTGGAAAGATGAACATAAGAAATGCTTGCATCATTTTAATAGCAGTTGGGTCACAGGGAAAATGAAGCAATTTGCAATTATAAATAGAAAAAAGGATAAGGATATTATTTAATAAGCAGCAGGAAAGTTTAAGTTCAAATGAAAGGCATTCCTATCATGATAAGGTCCTTCCAAAAGGCCACACAAGTTAGGGTTAGGTACCAAGACACCCAGGCTACCAACACTACACACTTTTAAGTGAGTCACTTTATTTTAGATATGATTTATAAGGTTTCTTTCACTGTTTCATAAATAACTTTTTCCCTTTCCACAAGCCAATTACTTTATATTATTACTGATGATTTCCAGAATATTCATCTTGCCACCTTTCCTCAGTAATTAAATAAAATCTTTAATTAATTTCAAAGCAAGTTGCTTGTATTTAATTCTCCTGTAATGAAAATACTTCATTTTTACTGTTTGGACTGTTGACTAGGTGGCAGAACAAGTGAAAGCTGAGGTTTTGGGAGAAAGTCATGAGTCTAGTACCTTGATTGTAGTCATTCCTTTTCCGTTTCAACCTTCTCATTTATTAACACTCGGCACACAAATTGAGACCTCGTTAAATTATAAATGGAATATCCAAAATATAAACTAAATAGTATGTCTTCCGAAGTGCACGGAAAGGGAAGACCAAAACAAAGCTGCTAGCACTGAAATATGAGCCCAACTTATTCTCCAGCACGTTAGCTTTCAGTTTCTGTGAAATTGTCTTAACATAGTGCTTAATTAAAAGAAAAGGAGAAACTGAAAAAGAACCACAAAAAATATAACACTAGGAGACATATTAATAACAGAACAGTTTATACATCTTTTTTCTGAACATTTTCCTATTACCCTCATTTAATACCCAAAGTCTTCACTTCAAGCGTTTTCAAACACTTTCCCATATTACTCACAGTACAATTAGCAACATCTTGTCATGAACTCTTTTTTTAAACTTTCCCCATTTTGTTCATCTGTACAAAACTTTTCTTCTCTCTCATAC